TGAATAAATAATAGACCGACAAACTTCACTAATTACATGTAACAAAATATGCGACATCTACATAAGCAAGTTTCAACAATATGCTACGGTGAAAAGGGTTGACTGTTGTATTGACGGCTAACTAAAAGAATTGGTCAAAACCTTTTCATCATCTACTTCATTTTCGTTTCATTTTTCACCACCTTCCATAACCCTTTCTTTATTTCTTTCTGTGCCTTATTCGTCTAACCCTAATTAGCATACGATTTTTATGTATTCTAACCACAAGTATGAATGAGTCCATACACGATTGACCAACACTTTAGAGAATTAATAATTTAACAATGAACCACTATCTTTTTCAGCTCAATGTCGTGTCCAATCAAAAATAAATATACATGGTAATTACTTATTAGAAAGTCGAAATTTTCCACTATAGGATTTGAAGGTGTGAAATTTTAAGTGAGTTCCAGTTTGTATTCTTTTTGTTTCTCTCTAGAGTCTTTCTTTTTCACCCACACTAGAATTTTTAACAATTATAAATGGAATTTTCAACAATTATACATATAAGATAAATAGTTTCATATTTTTTATAAAAAAATATAAATAATTAATATCTTAAATACATCACCATAAATAAACAATTAAGCCTCAACTATGCAAATTGCAGTTTGGTAACTAAACTTAATAGATCTTTAGATTTATAACCTAAATTTATTTTTTGGGCATATAAGTCCTCAAATATTGATGGAACATACCATTTTAGTACCTAAAATTTTTTGTGTTACATTTTAGTACCTAAACTTTTGAAGTTCTACAAATAGGTATAATTTTTGTATGTGTAATTAAAACACCCTTGAAAGGAAATATCCATACTCTGTCCAAATTCATCTACAAACTTCGAAACTCATATATACGTCATTCATACCCTACCCATAATCAATGGGCCTACTTGAGTTTAGGTAAATATCATTTACTAGCCAAAAGGTTAAAAAAAATTAAATTGGATATTGACCACCATATATCTCTTCTCAATCAATATCATATTGTCAAGTCAATATTACTAACAAAACTGCTAACAAAAAATTAATTTTAGACTAATAATACAAACAAAACACCATAACGAGCCACATAATACATGCCCGTATACAATTTTCGTTGTCAAATTTTTATCATGGCAGAGTCCAATTGGTTTCCCGGCTTTGTCAAATTTTTATCATGGCGGAGTAATTTCGTTGTGGCCCCTGTTATTTCGGCAAAATTTAAAATAAGGATTTTGGGTATTATAGAGAGGCATTGCAGAGCACCAAGGACCTTGGCCGGAAAATTGTATTTCCTCACCGGTCGAAGATAATGGATGATCGGGCAACACAAAGAGGTTTCGATCTGAACATGCCGACCGAAGGTTACGAAGATCTTGGTGTTTGTGATGATGAGGTGAGACATAAGAGCAATTCCGTATTCAGTGTGATAGAAATAAAACACCCTCTGACACTGTTTATTTACAGGATGTCGACGATGAGGTGAGAAATAATTTTCGTATTCGGTTAAAAATAATTGTATTACCATTAGACCAAACCCTAGTTCGTACAAAATATTATTTTAGTAATTTATATTGTTATTTCCAACAAATAAGAGTTAGGCTCGACTTGAACAAACAGATTACACATATAGGTTATGTTGCATGCTTAGTACTGGGCCTCATGATTGGTATGGTTTTGGTTGAATCGAGTTTGTAAGTCGAGATCGAAAAACACTGAGAAATGCCAATATAAATTGTCACCGAAAGGCTTATATGTTAGCTAAAATTGACAACACTAGTTCAGTTAGGGGCTTATTCGACAACTTTATGCATTTTCGGAGTGTGTAAGTGCTCAGGTGACTTTATATATTCTACATGTACTAATAGTTAATCTTTATAAGAATCACGGTGAATGTGTCTATCGATGATTATTGTATTGGGGTCCTTAAGTGGTCGTTTGATTCGTGGATTTTAGTACCGAATTCAATCCCTCATTGAATTGTCATAAAGTTCATTATTTGTTTGCCAATTCATGAAGGGTGAAATGCGTGAAGCCGGTGGACTTGCAAATCACATGATTGGAGGTGGGATTTGACGGAGGCCATAAATCCATAATGGTTATTTACTACTATCCACATGATTAAAAATAAAAATGCTTCAACGAAAGAATATTAAGGTAATTTAAACTTTAAATCTATAAATATATAATTACAAAATCCATGAGCAAATCCAACAATAAACTTTTCCAAATTAATTATGGACTAAATCCATCACTAGTCTAATTTCCAAACCCAGATTCTATACAAAACTATCGTTTTTCAAATTCAACAAAGAAATTACCTCTAAATGTACATAGGCATATATAAAAGTTTTGGATTCTCTACTTCCAAAATCCAAAAAAAATCCTCCCATTACTATATAGACGTTCCCGATCAGAACTATGGGAATTGAAAAATTCCAGCCTTCTGCGCAATCCAAGGAAGGGTTCGTTTGTCTTTTTCTATGAAGCATTTTTTATTCTATTGTCCCGTTTCACTGCTTTAGTTCAATTAGCATACCCTTCTACTAATCTACTTAGGTTCGATTGCAACAGAAAAGTTTGGGCTTGGGCTTAATTTGTTGATTCAATTACAATAAAAGGAGGTCGAGAAATTCAAAACATCATTGTCGTTCAAATTAAAGCAAAGTGTGTTTGTCCGTGGGTTTCATGCCACTTTAATTTTAGTTTAAGTTAAATACATTATTAGTTTAATTACTTAAAATATGTGTACTAAATGTGGTATACGTGTGCACATTATTAATTACTAGATTATTAACACTAAATGTGGTATAAGTTAAATACATTATTAATTACTAGATTAGGGTCCGGCCCGTTGGCCGGATAAAAGCAAAAACCAACAATTATACATATCGTATACTATTAATATTGAGACATTTAATTTTTTTTTTGTATTAGCAATATACTAAAAAAATGAATATTTTAATTTATCAATACTCTGTCCCTTTGGGGACATCCGATAAAATTTATCAATACTCTTCTTGCTGGTAATTTGATTATTTATCTTAACTTTCTATTTCTAATATAATGGATACTATGATGATGATTTATTCATTCGAAATAAGGGATGAACATTCACGTAAGTTTCATCCAAAAATATTAATGAAAATTCACGAAAAAATCAAGAATATATAGGTTAAGGCTAGAGTACACCACTTATGCGTTAACACTTATTATTTGTACTTTGACAATTTTTTCTGAATTTGAACCGTTGGTTCTCAATTCAAAATTAAACGAATCTTATGATTTGGGTTAGAAAATTGAGAATTGGGGTTCACCCATTAGAGGTTAGATTATAGTATCATGCCTCAAACTCCGATTAATTCAAGATCTAAATAGCAAAACTCGACAGGTGTTTTTTTTTTACAATAAACTCGACAGGTGTACGCAAACCTAAACCGTGATATATATGATTTTTTGGTTAATTTGATACATTATTATATTTTCTACGTGGCTAGCCAAGTAATGGTAAAAAAAATTATAACTTTTTAGTCTTATCCAATCATATACATGTTCAAGCTAAATGAACAATGAACCTTATTTTGAGCGTACTTTGTTTGATCAAGTTTTTCTTGATTCCATGATTGATGATTTTTAACCTCCAACACATTACATTTCAAAATTTACTAATTCTTTTGGAGTGGGCCTCAAATTTTGCCATCCAATCATATACATGTTCAAGGTCAATGAACAATGAATCTTATTTTGATCATACTTTGTTTGATCAAGTTTTTCTTGATTCCATGATTGATGATTTTTAACCTCCAACACATTACATTTCAAAATTTACTAATTCTTTTGGAGTGGGCCTAATTTTGCCTGCTTCAAGATCTAAATAGCAAAACTCGACAGGTGTTTTTTTTAACAATAAACTCGACAGGTGTACGCTAACCTAAACCGTGATATATATGATTTTTTTGGTTAATTTGATACATTATTATATTTTCTACGTGGCTAGCCAAGTAATGGTAAAAAAAAATTATAACTTTTTAGTCTTATCCAATCATATACATGTTCAAGCTAAATGAACAATGAATCTTATTTTGAATGTACTTTGTTTGATCAAGTTTTTCTTGATTCCATGATTGATGATTTTTAACCTCCAACACATTACATTTCAAAATTTACTAATTCTTTTGGAGTGGGCCTCAAATTTTGCCATCCAATCATATACATGTTCAAGGTCAATGAACAATGAATCTTATTTTGATCATACTTTGTTTGATCAAGTTTTTCTTGATTCCATGATTGATGATTTTTAACCTCCAACCTATTACATTTCAAAATTTACTAATTCTTTTGGAGTGGGCCTAATTTTGCCTGCTTTGGATTAGTCATTAAGTCATGACATATCCTCTATGTATAAGATTAATGGAACTTTTGAGAGAGGAAGGGTAATATATCATGCATGTATAAGAAATGTGCATTGCTTACAAAAATTGGTCGAAATAGATCTATTAGTTGAGATTGAATAAACATATTTAAATAATATTTTATTTATTTCTCTATCTCATTCAAACAATCGCACCTTTTACTATAGAGGTATACATATATGGGTTGGGTGTCTTTTTACCATAGTTATTAAATAATTCATTTAGTACATGTATATGTAACCGTACGTATTTTATCCGTTTAAACCTTCCGTTTCCGTATTATTGTCAAGTCGTTTCATTCTTTTCCGTTCATTTGATGGCTCCCATATAAAACACGTATTAAACCCGTATAACACGTTTAATATCCGTATCAAATGAATTAAATTGTGAACTTTACTATTATTTGTATATTTTTTATTTTAAAATAATAAATTTTATATATTTATGACTATTAACGTACTATTTTACGTAACAGTTGTAAAGTATCATTATGTTAAATCAATTATTGTTATCATATACCAACCCGCCAACGGGCAGGGTACAATCTAGTTGTACTGTATCCTCTTTTCCAACAATTACATATTTCGTACGTACTCACATTTGGCAAACAAATGCTTAAAAGAGAACAACAAATAGGAAGAAGATTTTGTCTCTAATCACCATCATCATAAGTATGATTATCCAAGATAGAAAAATTGTGCAAATTACAAACTGATCATCATCTCATCTGTGATAAGGTTATAGATATTCCTCCTACGTAGCCATTTTTCCTACCCTCTCTACATTCCTAAATTAAACGCCAAAAAAGAAGAATGGGAAAAAGGTACAAATTAATTTACTTTTTGATTGGAGTAAAAAAGTAAAAACAAATTTGTGAGGTTAGCTTAGGAGAGGCTTATGTGGGTCGAACTCACTACTTTCCAAAGGGTCAGCACCTGCGTAGCCTTCTTTCCCTTTTGCCCACAGGAAGAAATACAGCCCCGTGAACATCAACAACATCCCTAATAGGCTGCCCCCAAAACAAGGATCCAACATTAGCAATGTCGAAGGCAATGAATGAATTATATGTGCACGAGATATTGAATTTTTTTTCCCCTGTGTCAATTGACAACTATGTTTTTGTACTATGAAAAACCGTTAACAATTGTACGTTTTTGTTCTATGTCATTTATCTACTCTTGTTGGTTACTTTAAGGTATCATTTGCTTGTAGGATTTGGGTGATGGATTTGGCACCCAAATCCCAAACATCATGGATTTGGGACAAGTCCATTGTTTGCTAAGGGATACAAATTCGTGGGGCTCACGGATTTAGACCCCTTTTTAGATTCAAATCCGTGGATCCCACGGATTTGCAAATCCCACATTTCATTTGGGATTTGATCATGGAAGGCAAAGTTGTGAGACAAATCAATAATTAAAATTAACCAAACAAACAATAAACTCTTCCAAATCCGTAATACTCAAAACCCTTATTTTCAAATCCAACAAGCAAACGAGGCTAAGTTTCAACCAAATGCTCATATAAAAATTAAACAAAATTAGTTATAGAGACAATCAGCATGACTCTTGCTTAATGAGCACGTTCCGCTTTTTTATTCTACTCTTAAATATCATATATTTTCTCAGTTTTACATTGTACATCATCATTCGTGGATTCATACAGTTAGTTTGATGGGAAAGATGTACTTTGAGTATGCAGCATGTGAGCCAAAAAAATACGTAATTTCTAAGTATGAACCAACACTAACACCGTCAAATGTGAATGCAATCATACGAAATCACATATAAATTACACTAGCTGGCGATGCTGCGACTTGTCGCGATGCGTACATGACATATGGACATGTATTATGTAGCTCGTTATAGTGTTTTGTTAGTATTATTAGTCTACAATTAATTTTTAGTTAGCATTTTTGTTAGTAATATTGACTGAGAAATATGGCGGTCAACATCCAATCTATTTTTCCTTTTTTGAAAATTTTGGCTAATAAATGATATTTACCTAAACCCAAATAGACCAATTGATTTTGGGTAGGGTATAAGTGACGTATATATGAGTTTAAGAGTTTGTAGATGGGTTTGCGTAGGGTATAAATATTTACTTCCATAATCTAAATGTGTATGAGTTGGGTATGAATACTCATTCATTCGAGAGTATTTTATTTACACTTACAAAAATTAGACCTATTTAATATTTATAGAACTTCAAAAGTTTAGATACCAAAATGCAATACACAAAAAATTATAGGTACTAAAAGGTAATGTCCCATCAATATTTTGAGGACTATATGCAAAAAAAAAAAATAGTTTATAAATCTAAAGATCTAATATGTTTAGATACTGAATTATAATTTGCATAGTTGTGGCTTAATTCCTTTTATAGTGATGTATTTAATATAATAATTATTTACTTTTTTTTTATAGAAAATGAAAACTATTTATCTAATTTGTGTAAATATCTAGCCAAACATTCCATGTATAATTGTTGAAAATTCTAGCCCGAGTGAAAAAGAAAAACTCTAGAGAGAAGTTAAAGTAATACAAATTGGAACTCGCTTAAAATTTCACGCCTTCAAATCCCGTATTGGAAAATGACAATTTTTTAATAAGTAATAACCATATATATCTGCTTTTAATTGGACTCGACATTGAACTGAAAAAGTCAGTGGTTCATGATTCAATTATTAATTCTCTAAACTGTTGGTCAGTCGTGCATGGACTCGTTCATACTTGTGATTAGAATGCATAAAAATAATAGTATACTAATTAGGGTTGGACGAAGAAGGCAAAGAAAGAAATAAAGAAAGTGCTATGGAAGGCGAGTGAAAAATGAAACGAAGAGGAAGTAGATGATGGAAAAGTTTTGACCAATTCTTTTAGTTGGCCATCAATACTACAGTCAACCCTTTTTGCCATAGCAATTTATTGACACTTGCTTATGTAGATGTCACATATTTTTGTTACATGTAGTTAGTAGAAGTTTGTTTAGTACCCCGTAATTATACTAAATGAGTTTATAAATTCGCTTTTGCAATATTTGAGTGTCGTCTCTCTTTTATAATTTATTTTATGTTTCGTATAATGAGCACATATAAAATGGTCGAATCTTCTCCTACTATTGAGTGATACAACATATTGTATGGTACAAACTAAATTTATACTTTTATGTTATGGTGGATTGGACTCATGGATTGATTCAAATAATTGGTGGATTGGATTCATGAATTCAAGTGAAATCTAAACATTGGACCAATATGTAAGCGTTGGACCAATATGTAAATTTAAAAAATCTCATAAAATTTTGATACCAAAACATAATTGTTCAATGATTTTACATTAAAATTAAATTTGGGTATCAAAATATAAAATGTACATTACAGTAACTAACTTATAATTTAATTAAATTTGGAGTATCAAAATGTAAAATGTAAGAAAAAGTGTGGTTTAATATATATAGGAGAAGTGAGGTACTAAGTTGTAATTAATTAGGCAACAGTAACCTCACTTCTCCTTTATATATATTAAACTATGCCCTAACGTTTCATTGAAGAATTTAGATGAAATTGGCAACTGAAATGTCTTAGATAACCCATTAAGTAAGTAATAGATTTCAACTTGTAGTGTCTTATTTTAATTTTGAGAAAGCTTACACATCATAATAATAATAATAATAATAATAATAATAATAATTACACATTTGTGTTCTAAGCTATTCAATATGAAAAATTTGGCACGAACTATTTTTTGTTAATATTTACCGACGTAAATCGTTAGTGTTTAACAGAAAATCTAGTCACCATCTATGTGGTTTGTGCCAGATTTGTCATATTGAATAGTTTAGGACACAAATGTCACGAAACGCATATAATTTGTACCAAATTTGTCATATTAAATAGTTGAGAACACAAATAACACTTTTAGAATAGTTTAAACGTACTAATGAAATTAGTCGTGGTCATATAATATTCATGGTGTATACTATACTCACCTTCCAGTGTTGATGGTCTCTCCTAACGTGACAACTGAGAGAACAACTGAAATGACTGTTCCAATTGGGCTGAACATGGCAACCAAAACTGGGCCTCTCTTCTTCATGGCCCATCCGTTGAAGCTCACACATGCTCCTCCCACGACACCACCCTGTTTTCATCCCATCGTAACTTAACATCGTCAGTTAAAACTCAAATCGCATGCTTATGATTTCCTCACTATCCAACTATGACGTTTGACTTCATAATTTGACTTGAGAGATAAATCGAACATTTAGATTTGGAAGAGGTGTAATATTTACCACTAAGGAATAGCCAACTAGGTCCCTAACATCCACGAGAGGGAAGAAAACATCCCGAGTCTGGCCTTGAAGCAGCTGCACGATTGCAGTTATCACCACACCAATCCCTGATGTTATGCCACATAACGACATTGGTGCTGGAAAATCACCCAATGTTGTTGCCTGAAAGTTAAAACACAAAGTATTGACCTGGTTTGTAAACTTTACATATATCATATCGGTAAAAGTGATATGTTATCAATTATGAGTCGATTTGTCCGGACCCACAATGGATCATGGACCGATTTGTTCAGGTCCAACCCGTTACCCATTATGACATATTATAAGCATCTTTCTTTGACACGAATCTGATCCAGTTACAACCCATCATGACTCGACTCGTTACTATCCATAACCAATATCATATGATCTGATCCACTATGGTCGAGTCCAACCCATTTGTGATCTCCATTTTACAAGTCAAAATCTATTCATGACAAGTCCTGCCATCAAGCGATAATTTCCCTCTAAAGAGCGAACAACAAAACGTCATTAGATTTTGCTTTTACGTACCTGCAACACGATATTGCTGGAGAGCACAAAAACTGCGACCATGAGATACAAACAACCGACCAACTTGTCCTTACTGATGAAAATGTCAGTTGGGGAAGAGATGACAGCAGGCTCTTTGTCTTTGGTCGTGCTGCTGTGCATAAAACTCATCGTTAATGCACCAAGCACACACAAAAATGTTCCCATGATCTTCACCTTGCTGTAAATGCACCCAATTCTAACCCTCTCCAACCTTCAATTAATATGCATATATAGTTTTAATTAGCTCCAAGAATGTGAGGTCTTATTCTTATATGTGTAGGTTTTGGCAGAAGATATTCAAAGTTACCTTAGTGTCCAAGCAATGATGAAAATCAAGCCTGGAGAAAGGTTTGGCATGGCTGTGGCCAAGGCCGGAGAAGTGAGCTTAATTCCCTTAAGGAAGAAAGATTGGAACAAAGTTACTCTGCAGGGAAACAATCGTGTAATTTCACCTTAACAAGTTAGTTTCTAGAATGAGAATTGAGAACTCTCGATTAACAATTAACGTCAGTATGTTAAACTCTGATTCATAATATTGCATCGGTTTTCACAACTTAAAACGACAACGATAAGGAAACTTCAATTCATAATATTGCTTTGGTTGTTCAAATGTTTTTTTTATGGCTTACCCTCCAAATGAGATCAGAACTAGCTGGGTCACAAGCTTGAAGTTGAATCTCTTGGGCCATTTCTTCCTATAAGAAATGAATGTCATATCATTAATTTGCATAAATATAATAATCTAGTTCCATATGCACCATTGTCATACAAAAGCTAGGGAGAAAGAGAGAGGAGAGAGAGTTAAAGAAAACTGACCTTTCAAAGTAGAAAGCAAAAGGAGAGATGACTAGGAATGTGGCAAAGGTAGAGAAGATGAGAATGGTGAGAGGGGTAAGCCCTATAGACATCAGATAGCTCAACAGAACTGAATTTCCAGCATACACAAATTGCACCACAATCAGCCCTCCACCTATTACCAAATCTTCCAACATCTCTTTCTTCAGGTTCAAAGCTGATGACACCCTCATTCTTCTTGTCTCTATAGAAAACTACCCTTTTTCTCTTAATTAATCAACACAAAGATGCTCGAATCTATGATTAACAACTAATCGTTTCAATTTTCACTTGGGAATAATCATAATTTAATTCTGATTTTCTTTTTCGATGATCCGTGTGAATAATCTCGTTCATGCAACCATAATCGTGATTCGAAATGATGGTAAATCAACCTTTTCTTCTTCTGCTTCTTTGTTGCCCCCCTCCAATTGTTCTTCTAGCATGCCAGTAAAGATTATGGTTACAGAGAAACAGAAAGGATGGAGAGGGGGAAAGAGAGGGAGAGGTAATGCTTAGGTTTTCTTCATTTATTTGGCTATGGAATTTTGTTTTTATTTTTGTCTGGGATGTTATATGAAAATATTTGTTAATAAACTTAGTTTCTGTTTTCTTTCTGTCTCTTTTATTTCACAAAAGTTTCATTCCGCACGACTTGATTTCTTATATTCTCCTGCTCTTTAATTCTTTTTCTTAGTTCTTTGTGGTTTCTTTTTGTCTACTAACCTAACATTCCTATGGTTTTGTTGCTTGCTCCTCATCATTCGCAAGAAACAGAATGCTTGGCATTCCTATATTTAGAAATTTTGCTCTAGATAATCGGGATCTCTCTTTCACCGACTTATTTTTCGTAACTTATAGATTATTATTCTAATGATATATGATTGACCTTAGAGTTATTGAGTGTTACAGATTATGAGTTACGATTAGGAACTATGATCACCACAAAATTGGTGAGAATGTACTTGGAGGAGGCATGATACGTCGATTAAAATTCTAAATACATAATGTGCATTGAGACAGTCAAAAAGTAAACACATTTTTATGACTCATTCTTTGTAATTGGGGTGCACAAAAACTACGGATGGATAATTAGAAAGTGTTAGCGGAGTATTAAGCCCATTGATTGTACTTAACTAAGCATTTAACTAAGCCCATTTATTGTAGAGTTTGGTTCCATGAAACCCATGCAGACGTGGGTTGCGCATAGGGTTAGGGTTTTCATTTTATTGTTTCCTCCTTTGTGAGGTAGTGGTTCGGCTTGTATATATTTATGGAGATAGTCGTTGTGGTACGAATAACATACACAAACACATATCTGGATAATAAGATCAGTAGCTGAAGAGTTGATAGTCTTCCATGGATTAGTCCTGGACATTCCAGGGATACCACGTAAATCTAGTTGTTCTTGTTTTAGTTCTTTCAATTCGTTCATTTCCGATCGTTCAACATGGTATCAGAGCTTCAGGCAATGGAATTTGATCGTCCTTCTGTTCGACTGACATCTACAAACTTTGCTCTCTGGGAATTTCAGTTCAGGGTCTTTGTTGAAGGGAAAGGTCTCCTTGGCGTGCTCAATGGTACAGTCCCTCGACCCCTATCAACCGCGTCTGCCCACGAGATTTCCCTGTGGAATCAAAACAACGCTCGTGTTCGCCACTGGTTATTGGGCTCGGTGGATTCAACTACTTGCTTGAGTCTACGTCTTTTCTCCACCGCAAATCAGATGTGGAAACACCTGGCTTCAACGTATTTCACGCTGAATACGGCTCGTCAATTTGATTTATAGCTAGCCTTAGCTCGTCTGGAGCAATGCGATCGTAGCATCACCGAATATTTCAATCAGGCTCAGGAACTCTAGACAAAACAGGATATTGTGTCTGCAGCTCTCCGTCCTCAACTCGCATCAGCAGATGCGATCGCTGAACGGCAGCAGTCTCGTGTGCTTTCTTTTTTGATGCGCTTGCAGCCTGAATTTGAGGCCATAAGATCGACGTTGCTGAACAGGTAAGGGCTCCAACTTGATGGCATTATTCATCATCTCGTGAGAGAGGAAACTCGGCTTAGGACCCAGTCCCAAATCGATCTCCGTCCGGGTGCAGGAGAGTCTATCTCTGCCACTACACAAGAGCCATCCGCCTTTGCAGTCTCACGTCCCCAATTTCAGAATCGCAACCTGCCATCCGACATAGAGTGTCACTTCTGCCACGAATGAGGTCACCCGAAAAAGCATTTTCGACAATGAAATAATTGTGTAATTGCAAGAGATCAGGGCACATAATTTTGGAATGTCGTACGCGACAGCGTAATGAGGCTCGCACGGCCGCTGGGGGCTTCAACAGAGCTACTGGGAGATATAATTCCACGGATGGGGGTTTTATTTCGGCGGCTGAGGGAATTAATTCAGCGCCTACCTCTTCTAATTATCGTCTGCAATCTGCACGTGGGTCGAGCTTCTATAATGGATCAGGTTTTTGCGGGGAGCGGCAGCTTGAAAACAGGCCTGGAGAGCGCCCAGACCACTCGGCCACATTACCGGAAGCTGGCAACAGCAGTAGTAATTCCCTAATGGCAGCAACAGTGGAGCAGCTCGTCAATGCCGCAATTCAAAAATCACTACCTACTGCCATAAGTGCAGCATTTGCTACTCTTCAGGGTTCGGGTAATACGACTCCTTGGTTGCTTGATTCAGCTTGTTTTAATCATATGACAAGTGATCATGCTAAGTTATCGGATATAATACCTGTTAATGACATGTCGTTGAGTGTTGTTAATGGTGGGAAGCTTAAGGTACATGGTATGGGTATGGTTTCTGGAAATAAATTGACATTGCCTCACACTCTTCATGTACCTGATTTAGTTCCCAACTTAGTTTCTGTGGGATAGCTTACTGAGCAAGGCTGTTCTGTCATGTTTGCTCCGACTGGATGTGTTATAGAGGATTTGAAGACGGGGAGGCAGATCGGAAAGGGGAGTAAACGGGGAAGGATTTTTCAACTGGAAGAACTTCGTGGTCACAATTCGTCGTCTGTCAGTAGTCATCTCGATAGGTCCGTCAGTATTCCATCTAAAACTTTGTCAACTGTAGTTGGTTCGCAGTCATTTGGTTTTTCTAGTTTGTCAAATAATGATGTTTGGGATCTTTGGCATTCCCGATTGGGTCATCCGCATTCTAGTCGTCTTGAACTCATGTTTCGGCAATCTTTATTAGGAAAAAAAGCTGTTGATTATTTGCCTAAACATTCATGTACAAGCTGTGTAGAAGCGAAAACTGTTAGCTCTTCTTATTCATCAAGCACTACCATCATTAATGAACCTTTTCATGTCATACATACTGATTTGTGGGGCCCATCACCTGAGGTTTCTCGTCGTGGTTTTCGATATTTCTCTCTTTTCATTGATCATGCCACCCGTTATACTTGGGTTTATTTCCTTCGTCTTAAATCTGGGTTTATTTCTTTCTCGTCGTACTGTTAAGATTATTCGGTCAGATAAAGGAGGTGAGTTCGGTTCCTTTCCATTATATGATGTGTATCGATCTCTTGGGATTTTGACTCAACACTCATGTCCTAGCGTCTCTCAACAAAATGGTTTAGTCGAGCAAAAAAATCGTCATGTTATGGATCTTACTCGAGCCCTTCTACTGTCTTCCCATGTTCCTGATTGTTTTTGGCCAAAAGCGGTTTCTACTGCTGTTCGACTGATTAACTATCAAGTTACTCCAGTTCTGAAAAACATTAGTCCCTTCTATGCCGTGTATGGTCGTCATCCTAGTTATTCCAGTCTTCGATTTTTTGGGTGACTGTGTTTTGTGTTGTGTCCTAAACAAAAACGTACTAAACTCTCGTCTAAAACTGCTCAATGTGCTTTTCTTGGCTATAGTGACGTCCATAAGGGTTATCTGTGTTATGATCCATCTTCTCAACGTATGCGCATTGTTAGTATAGTTATCTTCCCTGAGAACGTCATGTTTCACTCTCCTGGGTCATCCTCATCTCGGTTCCTCCCTACTGGTGTCTCACTTCCTTTTTTTATGATGGCCACGAAGACCTTCTTCCATCCGATACCCCAGATCCTCCATCACTAGGTCTGTCCTCCCCCGCTGTTACCTCCACGACCGCTACATCATCAGCCAACTCATCCATGTCTCCTGGCACTTCTAGCTCATCATCCACCTCTGATTCTTCATCACCAGTTGTCACATCTTCATCAGTTGATCCTCCTCCACATAGGCAGTCTACTCGAGCAAACAAAGGTATTCCTCCACCAAAATTCAATGATTATTTAGCTTACGGAGTTGATACCTTTGTAGTTCCCACCCGATATCGACAAGCTCACGGTCACCCCCTGTGGGATGCAGCAATGAAGCGTGAATTGGAGGCATTGCACGCTCAGAACACCTGGACTTTGGTTCCTCGACCACCACCTTCTACTTTTGTTGTTGGCTATCGCTGGGTTTATACCGTCAAAATGAATCTTGTTGGCACTGTTGATCGCTACAAAACCCGGCTCGTTGCACAAGGTTTCACCCAAGAATATGGTGTGGATTATGGCGAGACTTTTGCTCCCGTCGCCAAGATGTCCACAGTCTGTACGTTGCTTGTTGTGGCCTCTCACAAAAAATGGCTGCTTCATCAATTAGATGTGAAGAATGCCTTTCTTCACGGCGATTTAGAGGAAGTCATCTACATGGAACGTCCACCGGGTTACACTCTTGTGACTTCTAATCAGGTGTGCCGTCTTAACCGTTCATTATATGGACTCAAACAGGCACCTAGTGCCTGGTTTGAGAAGTTTCATACTACCATTTCTCAGCTGGGTTTCTGTCAGAGTCAGAATGATTCTTCACTTTTTACTCGTTGTTCTTCGACTGGGGTTGTTGCACTCCTACTTTATGTTGATGACATGATCATTACTGGGTCTGATCATGAGGGAATTGAACGGTTTAAGGAGGGTCTTCATTCGGCTTTTCACATTAAGGATCTTGGCGATCTATCATATTTTCTTGGCCTGGAAGTTATGCGTGACTCAAGGGGTCTTCTCCTTAGTCAGCGTAAATATATCTCTGACTTACTTGAGGACCATCGGTTTGCCGAATGCCGGCCGGCCTCTAACCCCATGGAATTGAATGTGAAGCTCAGTCGTGATTCAGGTGATGTGCTCCCCGATGGCACGACTTATCCTAGCATTGTTGGCAGTCTTATATACTTGTCTGCTACTCGTCCGGATATTTCATATGTCGTCCAGGTTGTCAGTCAATTCATGACATTGCCTCGTACTGATCATCTTGCTGCAATACATCGTATTTTACATTATTTGCAGGGTACTCGTGATGTGGGTATTCGGTTTCCCTCTAGTGGATATCTGGATCTCCAGGCTTATCCTGACTCAGATTTTGCTGGTTGTGTTGATACTCGGCGTTCTACTACTAGTTGGTGCATTCGATTGGGTGATTCTTTCATTTCTTGGCGTTGTAAGAAGCAGGATAAGGTGTCCAAATCCTCTACTGAATCTGAGTATCGGGCTATGTCTGATGCTGTATCCGAACTTGTTTGGCTCCGTCGACTTCTTCATGATCTCGGTGTACACTGCCCCTTGCCTATGGATCTCTATGTTGATAATACCAGTGTGATTTGCATCGCAGTGAATCCAGTTCTCCATGATCGTACGAAGCACATAGAGATTCATGTTCATTATGTTCGGTACTTAGTTAGTTCTGGTGATGTTACTCTGCATTACATACGTACTGAGGATCAGGTTGCGGACATCTTTACTAAGGCCTTCTCCACCAGTCGTCATTGGTACTTGTCGAGCAAATTGATGCTTTCTGACCAACATCAATTTGGGGGAGGCTGTTAGCGGAGTATTAAGCCCATTGATTGTACTTAACTAAGCATTTAACTAAGCCCATTTACTGTTGAGTTTGGGTCCATGAAACCCATGCAGATGCAGACGTGGGTTGCGCATAGGGTTAGGGTTTTCATTTTATTGTTTCCTCCTTTGTGAGGTAGTGGCTCGGCTTGTATATATTTGTGGAGATAGTCGCTGCAGTACGAATAACATACACAAACACATATCTGGATAATAAGATCAGTAGCTGAAGAGTTGATACTCTTTCGTGGATTAGTCCTAGACATTCCAGGGATACCACGTAAATCTAGTTGTTCTTGTTTAAGTTCTTTCAATTCGTTCATTTCCCATCGTTCAACAAAAAGTGGAGTTGCTTGTCGCTCAAAACATTAAATGAGAAGAATTGACTTGTCCTTCTCCTATAGTCAAAATTTGCAAGAAGTTGATCGGCCAGGGTATTCAATTCATACAGTTCAAATTTGTATCACCAAAGAATCAAATACAAATTCTGAACTGCTTCTAAAAGTTTGAAGCTGGCAAGCATTTTACATATAAGCTGTCCACTCTTCACAGACATGAAAAGCTCTACAGAACGAGCCTTGCTTCTGAGAACAAGGCAAAATGACCTATATCATGAGTTTCTTGTCGTAAATCACCTTGGAACTGACAGCCCGAGCTCTATTGCAGAGAAAAACAAATACTTGAATTAGGTACTGAACAATGGGCGACAATAAGTAGTCGTGTATTATATTCAAGACCATATTCCTAGCAATCATAGACCAAAATCAAGAACTGAAGGCAAGATATGGTCCAGTATTTTCCGCCTTAGCCGAATCAACGGACAACTACCTGATACTTGTCTAAACAGTACTGTTTTCCACTTTGTTTTTCAATCACAAACTGCATAGTTGGTCAAAGCGCCCACCTCCAAAACAGGATACTTCTCTCACGTCCCATCAACATCATCTGGTAAAAGGAGCACTGATGTTACCATATTACACCCGCTTCATGAGAAATACTTACTATCTATGAGCAAAATCATGTCAGAATCTTGCAGTTTAGCTGCTACCCTAATTTGTTAGTTATGCTATTGCAGACGCGTCCTCAGCTTCTAAGATGTTAATGCTACTTAGCCTTATGCATAACAGAATTTGGCAGACACTAGACTCAAACTTCGAATGAAACTTATCCCTCAACCAATCGGAAGGGAATAGATTTCAACTTTCAGGCGAACTCAGTAAAAAATGGATAGGAGATTGCACACAACAAGAAGTTCCCGTGGAAGTTGAATCTACATTGACAGTATTTCGATTCCAACTAAATGTTGAACTAGCATGACCAATACTCGGCAAATGTAGGACAAGCTTTGCAGATATAGCACAGCCCCAGCCTACCTTGTTCGATATCGGCATTCAAAAGCTGGCCTTGAATACATCAATAAAACACAACCTCTTATTTGGCATCTTCTAACCGGAAAATTAAGTAGAACTTTGATACAGGAGTTACTCAGAGGTTTGGTACTGTGCCCAATCAGAATTAATACAGGGCAGTGTATTACCAAGACATCTAGTATATATAGAAATTCACACACTAGGTCATGACCACACAAGAAATTAGACTGATGAGGTAAAAAAACCAGCCTTTCATCTCATCAGTGAGTATGGGTACATAGGCAACCAAGTGAAGCAGTGCAAAACTTTTCCATGGAAACTCCGACCGTGGGAGGCAATATGATCGAAAACACACAAGTTGGGAAATTACTAACAAAATTCTAATTTATGTCATACTTGATAATGATGCAGTGGGCCATAATTGACAGATCCCCAGTTTATTTCTTTTGGTATTATGTGCCTGCAGGAACCAAATACCCTTAGTCAGACTGCAAACGCCCTCTGGCTAGTTAAGAACCCCATCTTAGATTGATCCTCAATAAGGCACCCTAACTCAAATTCTAGTTCCCCCATGAGCTCTAATCCAATTAATCATCAATACAACAGTTCAGTATCATAATCTATCAATAGAACTTCAATTTCGAGTCCAAATTTTCCAACTATATTGACCACAGCAAGGATTGAGTTGCCACATTAGTACAAAGTGAAGCATCCATGTAATCAACAAGAGCCATTTATCATTGCCTTCATTCCAATTAGAATAACAATGAATCCAGAGAAACTACATATAAACAATTTAGGGGTTTGTAGAGAAGCAACAAAAAAAAGCCACTCACAGTCAAAGAGAGTAGCAGTAGTAGTAATAAAAGCTTTTTCTTAGCAATGTGGCTACTAGAGGCCGGGATAGGTGCAGCAGAGTGTACCCTGAGAGAGCGCACGGGAACTCCTCGATGCCGTGCTCAAGCATGACGTCATCCTCGCCGTCGCCACCGCGCTGTGCAGCGGCAGCAAAGACGCCGCGCATCCCAGCTCAGAGGGAATCCTGCAGAACAAGCCCGCCAGAAAAAAACACATGAGTATCAATTAACCATCTGCACTTTCGCACAATTCCGACCCTCTCTCAGAACCCAAATACCGAGTTCCATACCTGGAGATGGAGAAGCGGCGGGTAGGAGTGGCAGAAGAAGCGCTGGAGAAGAATGAAGGAGAGCTGGTTGATCTGGATTTTGAAGCGCCGGATCTGAGGGCAGATTTAATGGCGGATATGGATGACCTGGAAACCAATTTGGTACCGAAGGAAGCCATTGATGAGGACGAAGAGGGATGAGGATTTGAAGGTTAGGGATTGGGGGTCGATTTGTCAGGAGAGGGTTTAGGGTTTTAGAACCAGTCGCCGGGGAAAATTAGCTCTTGGAATTCGCCGACTTCCCGAGACGACTGAAGTCTGAAAGGGGAGAAAAAATGGTTACGGGCTAGGATTTGGTTTGGGCTGAAGCTCATGGTGAGCTGGGCTTTGCCTGGCTAAATGGACTGGAATGAAGATTAAAACTTAGGGTCATTTACTTGGTCAGGAGCTGGTTTGCAGAACTTGGGTTACCATATCCATTTACTCGGTCAAACGACTGACAAGCCTGTTCTCATGTTATCGAGCGACTTGAACTTGATAGGTGCCTTTGGTAAATGGTAATGGTCTAATGGAAATACTCTTTTCCCGTGGGACGACTTAAAAGTAATCCATCCTTGATGATGGTAATTTCGACCTGATCCTAGACCTGGCAAATTACAATCCGACCCGAAACCGCCTAAAAAATAGAAATTTTTTAACCCGAAATTCGAATGACCCCAACCAAATAATCAGTGATTTTTTGGGTCGAGTTGGGTGGGATAGAGGGTCGACCCGTTTCTTTTAATATATTACTCCCAAAATATGATAAAAATCACATCTAGCAAAGTTGATCCACGACAATATGTGGCTAACTTGGCCATTCCTTATGAAAACATTCCTGACTTCTTAGGTTACCAAGGAAATTCGTCGAGTAGTCTTCAATATTGAGAGTTATCAAGCGCCAAGATCATATGGATTTAAGGCTACCTTCGTTCAAAGCTATTGGAATGTGGTCAGGACTCGGGAACGATGTCACAAATGCCATTTTGAGCTTTTTCAGATCTTGTCAGCTTCTTCAAAACTTCAACCATACATGGTTGTCACTCATGTCGAAAGTCAATAATGTTGAATCAGAGCAGCAACTAAGACAGATTATATGTAAGTTTTTTCATAAAATCATTGCTAAAATTTATAGCCTTTAGATTGAGTTTTATTCTTCCTCATGTTGTGAGCCTTAATCAAAATGGTTTCGTTAAGGGTCATATGATTATTAACAACATTCTTATTGGTCAAAAAGTCAAAACAATTTTTGAAAACTAAGGTGCAGGGACAGAGACAAATGGATGGCTCTGAAGCTTGACATGAAGAAGGTTTATAATAGAGTGGGATGGGCATTTCTCTTTGTTGTGATGCAGGACTTGGGGTTTAGTGAAGCTTGGCTTAAATGGATTTTTCTTTGTTGTGATGCAGGACTTGGGGTTTAGTGAAACTTGGCTTAAATGGATACATGTGTGTGTTCCAATCATGAGCTTTTTTGTACTGATCAATGGTCGTCCTTAGGGTTCTTTAAAACCCGAATGTGACATTTGGGAAGGTGACCCCCTCTCACTTTTACTCTTTGCTATTTATTATGAGGTCTTTTTCGGCCAAACTTTATGCTGATATTAGAAACTCGTTACTTCATGGTATGCATGTCCGTAAGAATGCTCCAATCATTTCACATCTATTTTTGTTTTGGCTGATAATTCTTTTTCTGCGTGCTTCTTTGCCAAAATGTGCTAACTTATTACATCTGTTTGTGGATTATTAGTTGATGAGTGGGCAAAATGTCTGCATAAGTACTCCATTTGAGCTTTAGTGACAATGAGTGCGATCAGCTAGGAGCCTTTTTGGGAGTGTATACTACAAGTTTACATAGCGATAAAAAAAGCTAAGACTTTTCAATTTGAAGGAGATGGTCTTGCTGCCTGTATCAGGTATGGAAGGCAAAATCAATGTCCCTTGCAGCTTAGAAGACCGTAATCAAGGCTATTGGTTATGATTGTTCCATTTATGAAATGTCTCATTTTTCGTTTTCCATCAATCTTGTGTTGGATGTTAAATAGCCAGCTTTCTCGATTCTTGTGGGAAGATAAGGACAAGAAAGATGGAATGCATTGGATGGTCCGGCCCAAGGCTTGTAATATCAAGTTCGAAGAGAGTTTTCGCTTTCGAGATATTTGACAGATCAATGTGTTGGTTGCGTCGAGCGCGAGACTTTATACCTGTCTTTCAAATAACTTGACCACAATTTAAGCTCAATGATAATATTTGGCACAAGAAAGATGAGAAACAGATTTAATATATGTCCTAAATCAACTAACTCCCTTTTGCTTCTTTCAACACGTTAGGCTAATTAATTATAGTTTCACCCTCACTTAGGCAGCTAAATCGAACCCCACCTATTAGAACTTAAGTCTTACACGAATGGGCTTGTAAGCCCGATGGTTTGAATTAGAGGAATATAAAGAACCCGAAAGCCCAGTTTACCAATTTCTAAACCCGACCCAGCTTCTAAGAGAAGAACTCAAACGACAGTGTTTTAATTTAAACTAAGTCCACCTTTCCCGCCTGAGTAATTTCGATCAAGCTGAGAACAATTTATATTTGAGTGAAGAACAGGGGAAGAACTCAAAGAACAACACAGCAGTATAAACCCAGAAAATTATGATGAAAGTTAAATCAAACCCGGTCGCGATAGGTTCTCCAACCCAGTTCTGGCACTTCGTCTTCCTTAGCTTCTCTTGATTGAATTTCCCTGCACACTCAAACTTGAAACAGAACACACACAGTGGCGCATACAAAACTGAAACTGAAAAACAAAATACGAACACAGCCCATGATTTTTACGTGGTTTCCAGTATTGGGAGAATAAGGATCCCAATACTGACTACTCCACGGTCAGAGAATCACGATTGTGTGATCTCTGACGATTCACTATGATATAGCGTTGACGTTCTTCGTTACAAGCAATCTACCCAAGAGCCCTTTGATCAATCTCTACCCGATTGATCAAACTCTCTTTTCTCAAACCCGAATTGCTTCCCCAGCAACTCGAAACCAGTGTTTCCCCAACACTAACCCTCAAAGCAATTCTCCCCGAACCCTTTGAGAAAAACCCCCTTTCCTATCAACTTTGCTACTCTCACAAAATCCCCTTTTGTCTTAGCTAGCCTTGTTGATCTACTTGAAAGGTTGTTTTGTTCTTCCTTCAAATCGCCTTTTATAGGCTGCAATGTAGCTGTTGAGAATTTGAATTCCCTTGAAATCTTCAAGTATGGCAAGTTCTTATTCTTTCTTCTTTTGACCCGAAAACTTGCCTTAACTGTTTTTGGTCAGCCACTGATTTTTCACCTTGATTTGATTCTTGTCTTGGCCATCAAGAAGTTTTGCCATTGTCAAGTTGATGCCAACATTCTCCCCCTCAGCATGACAATGGCTAACATTCTCCCCCTGAAAAGAATGTCCCAGAGGTTGTCTCACCTTGTCAAAGTTCACTCTTTAAGCTGCTCACCTAAACCTGCACACTTCAACAAACCATTGGTGCAGCCTGTCCATTCCTATGATCATGGCAGTAAGAATCAAATGCAACTAGAGCCGAAATAGGAGTCCATTTTATTCAAGGAGACATACGACATAAAACAGCCCAAAGCACTCTACCTAGACTAAAGCAAAGTAAACACTCAATCAAGACTTAATAGCCCAAAAACAGACTCGAAAAGAAGAACAGAAAACATTCATGGAACTCCCCCTGAGACTAAGCAGCAAGAATATTCCTAGTAGGTGTACTCCGGAGATGACGCATACTCCGATGGATCGACTTCCTCATCCTCCGAAGGTAAGAATAACACCCTGCTGACCTTCTTGCCTGAGGTGCTGGCCTCTTTTCCCTTCAGTGACACGGTAAAGTCACGAAGGAGACTTTTTCCTTCATTTTCCAGCCTTACCCCTTCCTGTATATGCTCCAATGTCAAAGCCTTCTTGCGCTTTCCCGTCGATTCTGCTATTCCCTTTCCCTTGTCAATCCTGGAGATTCCACCAGCAGTGTATGCTGCTGCCGTGTCCTTTAACCAGCTACCCTCATCATTGTTGTCTTCTTCTGGTTCTGATTTGGGCTCACTGTTGGCAGCTTTGTCTCCCCCTTGAACTTTGGCAAGTTTGCGGGGTCCCAGCCACAAGATGGGGCGACGCATGACATGCTGAGCTCGCAGATCAGAACGATCATCCCGGTTGATGATTTTCCCACGCAGATCGACCCCTAAGATGGTCAACAAATGGGTGATTTGCGGGCCAAAAGGCAGCTTGCCACTGCACTCTTCGTCGCGATATTTCATCATATGATTAAACATCAGCGAGGCATAGCTGATTGGGCAGCTTGTCTTTGCGTTGAACAGAATCCAGAGGTCTGAGTCGTCCAGAGTGGCGGCCTGGTCAGCAGCGCGAGGGAGGAACACACGACTGATGTAGAACTGCAGCGCTCGCAGATCATCCGGCAGCCGCTCCACGGAGAACCTCGAAAGCTCGCGTCTATGGGATGAAGCCCATAGTTGTCAAAATCTGCAGCAGTTCCGGCTTGATACCCTCCATGAGGAAGATGCAGCAGATTGGCCAGAATATCAGCAGTAACCGTCACACTGAAGTTGTAGACGGTGGTGGTGAAGTACGATGGATAACGCCCAGGACCGCACTGCATACTTGCGTAGAACATACGCACTGCTTCAGGGCACTGATCAAGGAGGCGATTCTGGAACAACGAACTCCATCCAAGATCATTGATGTACCCATTCACCCTCAGTCTATACCCGTTGAACGAAGTGGGGGGAATGAGGAATGAGGGATGCAGAGGACGATCACAGAAGCTACGCAGATACTTGGAGTAAGCTTCTGAGTTGCGGAATCCCCGATTTGTGAAGATTGCAGCAGGTGCAAGGTTCACATTGAGCTGGGGATTGCTTGGGGCCATGGTGAGGGAAAGAGTGGAAGAAGGATTTTGAGAAGGAGGGATTGAGCTGCTGCCTTTTTGGATGAGGATGATGAGACGATGGTGTTCCACAGAGTAGGCTTTTATAGTGGTTGGTTCTGGTACAGAACTGGAAGGGTTTTGAGATAAGGAAATGCAAATCAACCCTTTCAGCCGGATCCATCAATAAATGAAGATCACATTCTACCGCATCATCAGTCAAGAACTTCGTTCTGCCATCATCAGTCAAGAACTTCCTTAGATAGAAACCGTAGAGGCGGTTTGGGGGTGGAAATCGGTCGAACAGAATCTTGGGGATTTCTGAGCATCAGAGGAAGAAGGGAAGTTGAGGTTAATTGAAGTTCTTGAATCGGATTGCTATCGGA